GGTTTAGGGTTAGGTTTAGGGTTAGGTTTAGGATGCTGAGTGCTTAGGAATGCGCGGATTTGCCCTCCGCGATTATGTCATCGCAGTAGGGTCGCGTTTTTTCTTTGGGCTTCCAAAAGCGCGGATTTGTCTTCGCGCTTATGTCTCCGCAGATAAGGGCTTCGCGGATTTGTGGTGGAGCCGAAAGAAGATGGCAACGCCTCCCATCTCAGGTCTAATAATGAGCCAGACTCTGCTGAGGGTTGTGGGGAAAAGTTGCAAATTCCCTTTTCATGCCGCAATTAGAAGGCAACACCTCAGGATGTTGGCAGCCTCTTAATCCCTTCATTTCACAGCCATCTGACCAGTATACAACTATTTTTAAGGAATTGAAAAGAACTCTAGAAGCCATATTACTGATACTTTCCCTATCCTATATACTGTGCAGACTCTTGTGAGCAGAATATCAAAGTATATTGTTTGCTTTTATTTTTTCTTAAAAATGCTAAGAAAACTAATTCATAAATAAACAGAAGACACAGAACCAAAACCAAAAAAGTTGTTGTATTCAATTAATAAAATCCCCTTTGTGCCTAATCTCTTTGAAACCAATTCCTCACAAGAGGCAGCAGAGCTGTGTGGCTTATCCAGGCCTTACAGTCATGCCATCTCCCCATGCTCACCTGATCTTTCAGCATGCCCTAAATTCAGTGCTAAAAATTCTTTTTTAAAAATCCAAATATTTCCTACTACTCTCCCCCCCTATCTGTTCACTTTCTCCCTTTGCTCCCATTCATCACCTACTTTTACACAGTGGCACTGACATTTATTCTCTCTTTCAGTAAAGAAAAACTTTTCTTTCTTTCAGTAAAATTCTAATAGTGTTTCAGCATACTGCACAGCACAAAAACAGTTGTCTTGGTTTTCTTGCTGAATTTGATTGACACTGAACAGATTCTGGATAAACAAAGGAAAAACAAAAACAGAAAGTGTGCTGCCTATTAAGGGGGAAAGGGGGAAAATTCTGAGGAAGGAGAAAAATTGTTCGAAAAGAGGAAGGCTGTGACAGGAAGCAGAGTATCATCAAAGATTTCCTAAGACAGCTTTTCATAATTAATGTCATAGATACTGGTAGGGAATATGGTATGTCTTGACAATGTGTGCTAAGTTCTAAGTGGATAAAACTACAATTATATGTTAAACGGGAAAAAGGATAGAAATATCATAGATTGTGTTGTAAAATATGTACATATTTCTGCATACCTGGCCTGGTGGTAATTCTTTGTGTTGCTTCAGGATAAACTGAAGTATTTGGAAAAATAAATGCTGCACCTCCTGAAAGTAAGATCAAAAAAGCCCTATCATTATTGCTTTGCTACATATATTGAAATACATGGGTGAATATCATGAATATTTTGGAATGACATTTGTGAGGTTTGCAGGAGATGGCTTAATTTCCCCCATCAAGTTCAACTGATATGAAATAATTCCATTTAGAGCAAGTTATCCCAATATGTCAGCAGACTGTATATTTTCACTGAATTATATAATTGATATATTACTATAGAGGTTATTTAACTTTAATACAAACATAAGTAACAGCAGGTCTGTCAGACATACTATATACTGTACAATTATTTTCCTTACAGTGTGTAACTTCTGGTCATTTTGTGGTGATTCTTTATAGGAGGATTGTTCTAGGGGAGAGATATAAGCTCACTGAGATATATATGGGCTCAAATCTCATGCTATTTATCACTCAATACCTACATCTTTTATTGTTATGATAAAGCTGTACTTTGTAAGATATCAGCAGAGCTGTTAATTACAGTTACTGAATGAATAAATAAACATGGGAATATAACACACTGATGTAGAGTAGAAAAAACATATATCTCTGTACTAATCTTTATACATGAAGAAATTTAACATAATATGGGCTGTAACTGAGGAATTCAGGTTTAAAATCTCCTCAAACATTAAATTCATTGGGTGACAATAATCTTGTCATTGTCTCTTACTGCTTCTCAGTTAACATAGTTGGTAAAACTCTTGTAATGATAAAATTGGGGAAAGGACAAGGATAAAATTAATAAACTATTAAGTCATGAAATTTAGATTCTATTTAGAACAGGTTTAGCAAATGATTTTAATCTAAGTTATGAAATGCATGGTATTTTAAGAATGATACATCACATCTCTTTTTAAAAGGACAATTGCACAGAGCAAAACATGAATCGATATCAAGTTGTTCAACATTTTATTAATCACATTTCTAAGTCCTCAGTGCGTGATTCTATATACTATATTTATTTATACTGGGGAAATCAAACATACATAAATATAATTAACATTACTAGTACTTATGATGATAATAATTATGTAAAAATATACAGTAGAAAAAAAATATCAAGTGAAAAATCTATCCTACTTTCTTAAAAAGTGCCCAGAGCTAAGAATTATTATACAAGGTGTTATTTCTGGTCACTAGAAGTCATTAAAACTGTCAGGCATGATAACAAAAAAAGGTTCCCTGAACTTTTATTTCATCAAATTAGAGATATTACATTACTAGATGCACCATTCAAAAAAGGGCTTGTTTTAATTACAGGCAGTTGAACCAAAATGAAAGCTATACAATTTCTCTCTTTTCCCTACACTCTTTCTCTTTTTTAAAATTAACGATCTGATCTGATGGGCAAACAAGGATAGATTAGTTGAGTTTGTCTGGGAAGTTATCTAATGATTCACAGTAGCAGTCCAATATACTGTAACTGATCAAAAGGATATGAGAGAAGCTAAATATCTAGAAGCCCAGGAGACTAAATGGATATTTGTTTGGCACACACAACAGTGGGTCTCAGGTAAGATTTCCTAGTTAAAGGACAAATCCAAAAATGCCTCCCTCTGGTATGATAAATGCTTGAGATACTACATTATTTACTGCATACCATCACATTGCACCATTTAAAGACATTTAAAGTAGTTCCACTAGTTTCAAAAGTACAGATAGAATAAAGATTAAGATTGCAAAAAGATTGGAACAACTGATATGTTTCAGCCTCTTAAATTCACAATTCTTCTTTCTCACATGAATTGCATAATAAGTATCTGATCTCACTGTATGTAGAACATTACAAGGTCAGGAAGTAAGCTAGACTAGAATGCTCTTTATTCCTTCCATTTCCTTCCTTTTGCACATGTACAAAAAAAAAAATCCCATGGAAGACCAATCAAAAATTTAGTTTCTTCACTAACATAAGACAACTTGGCAAAAGCTGTCCTGCTATTTTATTTTATTTTATTTTATTTTATTTATATGGTAGGAAAACTACCAGGAGAACTAATGATGGGTATATTTCATGTGTGTCTTACAATTGTGTTCATACTTATATGGGAAAAACATAGGTGACTAACTCTTCTCTTCCCATTGAACAATATTGCCTCAAGAGTGCTAAATGTTTTACATTGGCTGGGGTGTATGAAAGCATCGGGTGTATGAAATTCCCATCGATATTAAAACATATACAACAGACTTAAGCACTCTTTAAAAAAATACAGTCAACATGTATCTCTTAGACAGAAATCCTGGACTTTAAAAATGGCCTATAAAAAGGGGAGTGGTGACAGCATTACCTGTATTTCTAGCATGCATTAACCGTGGAGAGTTTTGTAAAGCCTTATCAACATCATCTGAAGTCAAATGTGGAAGAGGAGCTACAAAACAAAAAGCAACACCAAGAATTTTAAAAAAAAGATAGTCAGAATTATCTTACTAACCACTTTCTTTTAGTATACTAGGATTATTTATGGTCATGAGTTCATGTCTTTATGGGACTGGGCTTATGATTTTTCTATTGGAAGCGGGAGTTTTAAGTCAGAATAATATTAGAAAATGTCTTAATGACAATATTCATTATGAAATCTGTGAAAAATATATCATATTGGTGTTGCACTGCCTGATATTAAACTAATGGTCACTTACATTTGGTCACTTACATTTAATTTTTTTTAGAACCAAAGCATTTTCTATATGCCTTAAAAACAAATCCACTTTGTTCTTCTCCTACTTTTAAATGCTATAAATTACTTTATATTATTTATATTTGAGGGGCTTTTCTTAACCTGAAAACATCAATTTTAATGGAATATTCTAAAGTGCTCATTTTGTTGCATAGAACACATGCCTGAATATACTCAAAATCAGTACGTCTATGATTTCATTTAGAATTAACATTTCAGAAATGGAAAGAAAGCAAAGTTATGTGACCAGAAAAAAACATTATTACCCATTCTAATGATAAAAAATGTATATTGTTTTAGTTTTCATTTTCTTAAAAATAATCAATAATTTCCTAACTGAAAGAATTTAGCATCTTATAAACATATGTCTTTAAAGAAAGGTCAAACCTATTTGTTTCTTACTTTCTCTGAGGTAGTGTAGGTGTGAAAGAAGAATGTCTGCATTGTAGCTTGGTGTGAGCCTCTGGAAGTCATCTTTGGTCATCTTACACAACTCTTTTCCATCAATATCTTGAAATAGCATGATGTCCACATCTGGGAGGCCATATTCCTTGACAGCCCATTCTAGCCATTGGCGTACATGGTCTCTGCTCCATAATGTAGGATCTATTTTGAAAACAGAAAATGTCATTTTGTTAAAATTGTGAAAAAACATTTAAGTTCTTTTCCCAGGACAAACATGTTCTACTGATACTGATTAATTTTATTGAAGTAATTCTAGAATTCTTTCTTTTATTAACTTAAAAAGACTGTGTATTTGAAGACTCCGGGAACAGATTTGTTTTTAAATCTGGGAGAGGGAGAAAGGGGGAGGAAACCTTAAAATATATTTGCAAAAAAGAGGGGAAATTGAGAAAGGCTGTAGCATAGCATTTATTTTGTGCAAGATATTGCTCAGATAGCGTATATAGAAATCTATTTGAAGAGAAAAGACTTTGATGTTAAATAATTGAAATATCAACTAAAGGTATAAAATAATTAACCTATATCCACCAACTAACTGATGCATTATTCCCTTTTCTATATGGGCACTTTTGTACCATTTTGTTCCTTCTCACTAAATTTATTTGCCGCCCGTTTCATTTAGAAGTGATTCTGATTTATCATCAGAGATAAATATTCCTAATATTAAGTATTAGTAAATACTTGTTCTAGAAGAGGTCTTTAGCAATTTTCTGTAGCATTTTCCTTATTGCAGTGTGAAATATACTATGCATATTTGTGATTTAAAGGCCACAGCAAAGTCACTGAATTAAACAAACTCATTACATAGTATTTCATTACTTAAATGTAAAATAAGTTTTTCTTATTTTCAGATCCTGAGAAGCAGGCATATATTTAGACTGTGTGCCATGACAACCAGCATGGTGTTCTCTGAAAGGTTTGGCAGCAATTGAAATAAATATTTTTCTTTAACATGTCTGAACACAGAAGACCAGGGAATGGTAGCTGCTGGTACTTTAAGAAGATATTTGAAATAATAGTATGACAAACTGAATGTGGTTTTTCTTGGGACTTTATGTGTTTCTTTTATTTTTTTGTTTAGATTATTTTTATACTTTTATTATGTATTTTTATTAATTATTGTTATTGATGATGCCACTGTTGAGTGAGGCAGGTATATAAAGCCATACAATGAAACATATAAATAATAATAAGTCTTTCATTTCATTTGGCAGTCCTTCTGGGGATTTGTTTTTGTAATAATGTATCCTTGGATTTAATTGCTCTAATAAAATCCTACATAACATTGTCAGACAAAAAACAGGCAAAGCATAACTTTCCTATAGTCTCCTGTTTCCCCAGGTCAATCCTAATTTGAATGTAATGACCAAAATTAACAATACAAAACAGTAATTTTCTAAGAAATCTAAGAGAAAAAATATATAAATATAATTACAAAACCCTATAAAAATGAGGATAAAACAAGACAAAAATTCCTGCCTCCCTTCCAATGATCTCAGTATATCATGTTTTGTCTTCTCCAGCCTTTGTCCTATGAAAAATTAAGTTAAACAAGTTTCCCCCTGTGGGTCAGTGCATTACTCTTCTCCTCCTCCTTCTGCTTCTCCTTCTGCTTCTCCTCCTCTTCCTCCCTCTATTTCTTCTTCTTTTTCTCCTTCTCCCTCTCCTTGAATCTATGCATAAACTACTTTCAGAGATGTTGAAAACAACATCATTTAACCGAATTAAACACTATGCTGTTAATTTCAATGGAGAATGCTCTAGTTGTATTCTAAAATCACTGTGGGATATGGACATTCCGAATATGAATGGATGGTCTCTACTGCATTTAGTGATAAGGTACATTATCTTTAAATAGTTATTTAAAAATATTTGCTCACCTGCTGGAACAATAACTCTTCGTTCGTTGGTGGTCATATTCGGTGGAGGGATGTGCTTTTCTTCCATATAGTTTCCATAGTTCATGCCAACATTTTCAGTGTTATTAGTCATCTTTCCATTTTTTGTCATACTGCAGTTGTCAGGGGAAGTCCTAAGGAAACAATTTAAAAATTCCCGGATAATATAGAATTTTTTTTAAAAGGTTGAGAAGTGAAGGAAGTACTCTAAGAAAAGTTTTATGTGCTGCTCATCTGCAATCTCAGAAACTTCTCTCACGTCTTGTTTCTATTAGCTTTTGAAGTCTACAATGGATGTCAGAGATCCAGGTGGAACAGAGAGTTCAATGCTGATATTTTAGGAGATTCAACACTAAAAGTTCTATTTTTAAAAAAACATTTAAATATGTTTACTTTTTCCATATTATTCCACAAGTCACTGACATGCAAATATTATAATTCAACATAAAACAATATGATTAAAATATCCATAATATTAATAGATAAATCTATGCTAGGATAAATAAGAGCCTATTTGCCCAATACTTGAGATCAGATTAATACATTTACACTAGTTTGTCCCAGAATATTTGTTACTTTAAATTTATTTAACACTTGAAAAAGTAGATTTCTGACTAGTTCTCAAACTTGTGACTGTCACAGTGTCCTTGGCAATTTGGGCACTTGGCAACTGGCACAGCATGTCTCAGTCATGTGATTACCATCTGCAACCTTCACAGCACTTGGTTGTCTTTAGCTTATAATTTGGAAATAATTGAGTTATATATGCAACTCTAATACAGTTGTGTAAGATTAAGTTCATTATTTCAAATTAAGTGCAAGATAGCACTTATAAACCACTGAAGTAGTTTAACTTAGAGCTGTGCAGTCTCAGGAAAGACCTTCATTCTGACAAAAGGTTTATGAACAGTACTCTTTTAAAACAGCTTCCAAAAATCACAAAGATCTCTGCTTCTAAACAGCAGAAGGGTATAGTTCAGTGGTGGGTTTCCATTTTTTTACTACCGGTTTGTTTGTGCACGCGTGACGCTTCTGCGTATCCGTAGAACTGTCCAGATGGGTGGGCGGAGCCTCCCGCCACCACCAGCCTGAGCTGAACCGGGAGCAACCCACCTCTGGTATAGTTGCCTCATTTCACTTCACTTGAAGAAATGGGCTTCTGCCCAGCTAGCCACAAATTCCCAGTAATTAGGCAGTTGATAGGCAAAGAAATAAATCTTCTTTATTTTCATTTAATGAAAAGATTAATTAGTCATAAATTATGTTAATAATTTACCAAGCATAGCAATAGCACTTAGACTTACATACCGCTTCACAGTGCTTTACAGTCCTCTTCAAGCGGTTTACAGAGTCACCATATTGCCCCCAACAATCTGGGTCTTTATTTTAACAACCTCAAAAGGATAGAAGGCTGAGTTAACCTTGAGCCAGTGAGGATCAAACACCTGGCAGTTAGCTGACAGCCTGCAATACTCTAACCATTACACAACCACCACTATTCCAATAAGAAACCCAAAGAAACCCAATGAAAAGCAGAGTAGGAACCACAAAACACAATTTGAACTAGAATTCATCTTCCTTCCTTCCTTCCTTCCTTCCTTCCTTCCTTTCCTTCCTTCCTTTCCTCCCTCCCTCCCTCCCTCCCTCCCTCATACATAGCAATGGTGGGTTTCCACTGTTTTTACTACTGGTTCACTCATGTGCGTCTGTGCACTCATGACGCATGCCCAGAAGCATCTGGGCAGGTGGGTGGAGCTTTCTGCTGCTGCCACTACCAGTTCGCCTGATCCGGGCCAAACCAGAAGCAACCCCTCTCTGATACATACATACTTCTGCTATCTTTCACCACCAAGTAGTATCAGTCTTTTTAATCTCTCCAATTGCTCTGCACAACTTTATCATTTTTTTCCAGCCTCCCCATTACCTCCTGCCACCTTGCTGCTGCATTCCTCCACACTCAGCCTTTAAATTTCCATCTTCCCTGAATCAGTATCTTTTATTCATATTTGCTCTTAGTGTCTATGCAGATTCTCAATAATCCTTTTTCAAAAGGCAGCTGGACTTTGTTTTGAAGACATTTTGCTTCTCATCCAAGAAGCTTCTTTAATTCTGACCAAATGGTGATGGATGGAAGGATTTATATACCTTGCAGTGATCTGGTCATTAGCACTCTTTCTGAGAGTTGTTGAGGTGATGTGGAGGTTTATCTGTGCTCTCAGGATCACCTGAATAGTGCAAATGGATGTGGAACCTTCTTGGAACTGCTGAAAGGGCTGTGTTGTAAACAGGAGATAGGTGGTGTCATGTCCCTCATCCTCTGTTGAGATAGGGCTGCTCAATCTTAACATAGATAGTCTCTTTGACCCCTTTGGTCCTTTAGCTTGAAAGAGAAGAGGCCATCTATATTAAAATTTGAGAGACCGCCTTCTGCCAATTACCTCCCTGCGACCAATTAGATCTCATAGGTTGGGCCTCCTCCGAATTCCATCGGCCAGCCAGT